TGGTCATTGGGGCTATTTTTCTGTTTATTACTGTTAGTTATTGATACATAAAATTTGAAGGTCTATCATTAAAAATATACATATTTGCTATTTTCATATCTTCCTGGTGAATAGATTCCTTTTCTACTATGAAATATGTCTCTTTATTTCTGGTAATACTTCTAGTCATGGAGTTTATCTTATTGGATGCCAATAAAGCTATCCCAGCTTTTTACACCTCTCTGTTGCATGTTATATCACTTTCTGTGTTTTTCCTTTCAATATATCTGTATTTTTTATATAAAATGTGAAAATCTGATACACTGCTCAGAGTTGTTCTTAATTTTTTTTTTCAATCTGGAATTCTGACTTTTAATTGATAGATTTAGTCTATTTATATTTAATATAAAAATTGATATATTTGGTAGAGTAATATATTAGTATAAACCCAGCAATTTGCTATTCATTATCTATCTATCCCAACAGTTTTGTTTTTTTTTTTCTTTTCCTCTTTTACTCTATTATTCTTTTCCCAGCACTTTTGGGTGAATGGAATATTTTGTTAATTCTCCATCTTCCTTTATTTTATTGTCTTTTTAACTACCTACTTTTGATAATTTTTGATGCTTTCTCATAGGATGGACATATACATTTGTAATGGCTGGTTCCAACCTACCTGCGTGTCACCTTTATCTTTATCTCCTATATTTTCTTCTTCGAGTATTTACTTTGCTGAGGGGAGGCGCAAAGCCTTCTCCACCTGTGGGTCCCATCTCACAGCTGTCACCATCTTCTATGGAACTCTGTTCTGCGTGTATCTGAGGCCCACTTCTGAGGCATCAGTAGAACAGGGGAAAAGTGTAGCTGTTCTTTATATCAAACCCTTTGATCTGTAGCCTGAGGAACAAAAATGTTAAAAAAAGCAATAAGGAAAGTTATCCAAAAGAAATTGTTTGTTAAACAAAGTAGAGATGTTGGATACAGGTGTATAATATATCTTTATTTTCTGGGAATATTATGACTATTTTAAATTAGAAAATTATATCATTGATTTTTTTTTTCTTACTTCACATACAAAACTTGGAAGAACATGTCAAATATTTGCTAGAGTTTGTTGTGCTAGCTCAGTGAATTTAAAAACAAAACAAAATGAAAAGCATTGCTTAGAAATGCAAAGAAGACAAGTAGGTCTTGTTTTTGTTCCATAAAATCAATAAACATCAAATGATTCCATCCATAATACTCATACCCATTCAAAAATGAAAGAGAGAACTATCAGTCCAAATCCACTTGATGGCAATGGGTTGGGTAATGGTAAGTAGTCATTTTCTCTGCCATCAAGACTTCTTAGCTTAGTCATATGGAAAATATACTACCATTATGCTATTTATTGTTATTCATAATTATATTAGTCTAAACACTAACCAACTCTGCATTCATATGGATAATGTCAATAAGCCTTAAAGAAGAATTATTACATGAACCAATATATCCCAAGAATCATGCACTAAACATCTTTGTACAGTTTCCCTATGCTGAAAGTATACTTGAATTAATTTAATTTAAACTAATCTTGAAAATAGATCCCATAGTCTAAAACTGACTTCCTGCATTTTCATTTGTATTCAGGAGAAGAAACAATGTCAGGTCTCTAATGAAAATGGATAAAATACTGTTCACATGCCAGACCACTGGCTTCACAACAATCTATGATTACTGTTTAATTATTAATTCAATATCTCTTCACTAAACATGAACTGAGAACTCAAATATTTGTGCCTATCTCTGTAGGGGTTACCAAAATGAAAATGAGACTGACACTAATTCTATGCTCAGAGCAGTTACAGCCCAGTAGAAAAATTAGAGAAGGTGGCAAATGCCACAAGGGAGACAGTGGAAACTGCCATGGGCACTCAGAGAAGGGAAAGACTATTCCAGCTGAGAAAATGGTGAGCAGGGTCATGGAAAACGCTTCGTGCTTATGAAGAATGTAAGGCCTACTTCACTGTTCCATAATTAATATTAAAATAAGTACTATGCATTTTTGCATTTACCAATAACACTATGTGCATCTAATTATTACTCTTAAATTAGGATTCTATTATTACAGTGTGACTTTTCGTAAACAATTCATGAGGGAGCCCTAATGATGTCTCATGGGTTATTTCTTGATTAATGCTCCAGGGATGAACCCCCTGTGATTAGCCATTCAAGTATAAATACTCCCATTCTGGTGACCTTTGGGGTGGCGAAGGAATCACTGCCTTTCCATAGGTAACTCTGACAGTTATTAAAATAAAAAACTTATAAAAAGTATCATTTGACCTATTACAATTTTCACTTTGGGAGCAAAGACCGGAATTAGTAGTGACTATAAAACTTGCCATTCTAAGACAGGACCAAAGGCAGGAAGGCTCAGTATAGTCTTTGACAAAAGAGAGCAGGTGATTTTTGATGTCACTATTTAGAAGTTCAGGCAGATGTTGCAACCATCCCTGACCTTGATAACAGAGCCATCATTCACAACACAACTAAGGTTTAAAGTAGACTTATAGGTTGGGCTTTAGTGAACTCAGAATTCAAAAAGTCCATAAATTATACTTCTCATGCCTAAGGCATTTGACTGCTAACCAGAAGGCTGACGGTTCAAACCCACCAGCCATTCCTCAGAAGAAAGTTTGCGCAATCTACTTCCATAGAGATACAGCTTCGAAAACTCAAGGAGGGGTCTCTATAAGTCGGATCTGACTCGACGGCGGTGAGTTTGGTTTGGTTTTGGTCTCCAAGAGTAGGGCCTTAGAATTTGTCTTATGAAAATCTCTTCCCACTCCATTGTGCCTTTAATGGTTTCATATATTTATTAAGAGAAGAGTTTAAAGAGTTTGGAGTAAGTTAGTATAACATTGAGAAGGGAAAAAACATGAAATACCAATAGCTTTCTTTTCTCATTTGAGAGTTCTTCTCTTGTGTTGCTCCAATTCAAGTGTGCACTGAACGGTGATGGCCTTGTTGGGCTTGGCCATCAGAACAGGCTCACACAGTTTCCTCAAGAAGAGAACATTTTTCTGTGCTGCGTTTGTGTCCCTTCCCAGCATTGCTATGGATTATTATCAGTCTTTGTTGGTTGTTTTTTACTTTTTATTGTAGTTTGGGTGAAAGTTTACTGAGCAAATTAGTTTTCCATTCAACAATTTAAACACAGTTTATTTTATTACTTTGGTTGTAATTCCTTCAAAGAAACAGCATTCTTCTCACTTCCTTCCTGGATTTCCTATTTCCATTCATGCTTTTTCCCTGCCCCTTTCTGCCTTCTGAGTTTTGTTTTTGTGCAAATGTTGCCCTGTTGGTCTCTTATGGTTGATTGTTCTGAGAAGTACTTTCCTCCCTGGTATTATTATACACTTTACGGGCCTGTCTATTGTTTGGCAAAATGTCGACACTTGGAGGTGTGATCGGTTCCAGGCTTGAAGGTTGTCTAAAGGCCACACTCACAGAGGTTATACCTGCCTCTATCAGACTAGTAAATCTCTCTTTATAATCTTGAATTTTGTTCTACATTTTTTATCTCCCTCTCTGTCCAGGATCATCCATGTTATGGGATGTTTCATGGAGTTTTCATTATTCTTTAACATTGGGTAGTACCCCATTGTATGTATATCCCACAGGTGGTTTAGCCATTCATCCATTGATGGGCACTTAGGTTGTTCCATCTTATTGCTATTGCGATGAACATTGGTGTGCACATATCTAGTTGTGTTATGGTTTTTATTTTTGTAGAATATATACCCAGTAATGGGATGCCTGGATCATACGGAATTTCTGTTTCCAATTTTTTAAAAAAGTACCATACCATTTCCCACAGTGGTTATACCATATTTTAAAGTTCCATGAACAACCTAAGAGAGTCCCAACCAATTCACATCCTTGACAACATTTATTGCTTTCTGTTTATTTGAAAGTTGCTGTTATTACTGGGATGAGATGATACCTCACTGTTGTTTTGATTTGCATGTCTCTAATGTCTAATGACTGTGAGCACTTCTTCATATGTTTGTTGGCTAACTGTATATTTTCTTTTGTTTGTATCATCTGCCCATGTTTAATTGGATTGTTTGTCTTTTTTAATTGAGGTATTAGGGAGCTCTGGTAGCGTAGTGCCTAAGGTATGTGACTGCTAACCAGAAGGCTGGAGGTTCAAACCCGCCAGCCACTCCTTGGAAAGACGGTTGGGCAATCTACTTCTGTAGTAATACCACCTTGGAAACCCAAGGAGGGGTCACTATGTGTTGGGTCCGATTCCACAGCACATAACAACAACAACAACATATCTTTGACTGAAGTACCCCACTTGACCAGAGAGTGACAAAAATTATCTAGGGATTAATTTTGTTTTGTTCTCCTCCTGCATTGTATATACAGCTTTAATCTTTCCTACATGTGTTTTACATGTCAGAGTTCTGTTCAGTAATTATATTATTTAAACTCGAGTGACTTTCATACATTTACTTATTAAACTGTTTGAAAGCCTTTATTTGTCTCGTTCTCTCACTCATCTTCTTCTTGGAAGGAGAGAGAAGCACAGAATGAACTAAAGAGCCTCTCAGCAATCTGGCTAATGTCCGTGTTATAGAGGTCCTTGCCGTTTGGGGTATTGTAATGTGGAGTGCATCTAAAAAAAACCTTAGGCTCCATTCACCACAATCACCTATGCTGGCATTTTTTTTTTTTTTTTTAATCTGAACAATTTAACAGGTAGGAATGAAGCCGTGTGAACCCTCCTGCCCCCCTCCGGCTCATTATTTGAAAAAAGTAACAACACTTAAAATTCTACTTTCACCAATTGTGTTTCCTCTTGGCCTCCCCTCCTGGGACTGTCTTACCCTCGATAAGAAAATTTGTTTCTTTTCTTCCTGTTTCTTGACTGCAGGAGAACATAGGATCATGGAGACTCTCAGGAAAATTCCCTCTTTTCAAGCTTTCTGAAACCAACAGAAAAGTATCAGATCTAAAGTCAGAGGCTGGGTGTGTGCCCTGGTGGGCTCAGCTGGGATCCATTGGTCAAAGAATTATCAAAGGCTCCACCCAAGATTCTGAGGTGAAACTAATGTTGCTGATAACTCTTGACCTAAAGGTTGGCTTTTTGAATATGTGACTTTGAAACAGCAATATAGTCATTCTTTAAAGAGTGAGAATCTTTCATGTCCTCCCGGCTTTGCAGAGGATTCATGTTGGCTCGTTATTTTATCAATTTCCACCTAATTTCTAACAGTCAAGTTCTGCCATCATGTCAGGCATAGTTGTCACTGTTAGAATAAATCTCTAATTGATTCCCCTAACTTTGCCTCTGTTTCCACCTGCATAGTCACCTCATGGAAGCTAGAGTTTTACTCACTATCTATGGATCCACCAATAACATTAGAAAGTGAAGAAGTCTACAAATGATGGAAATTTAGCTACTATGAGTTGGCAAATTCATCTCATTGACTCATCTATTTATTCAACTAATGTTTAAAACATGCTGCCATCAAGTCAACTCTGACTCAGAACAACCCTATATGACAGAGTAAAACTGTCCCCATAGAGTTTCCAATATTTTCCAAAAGCAGACTGCCACGGAGCAGTTGGTGGACTTGAAGTCCTGAACTTTTGGTAAGCAGCCAAATGCTTATTGAATATTTACTCTAATGCAAGCACTCACACAAGGTCTGGAAATGTGCCACAAATGTAGTTCTTTCTCTATGTGGCTGACATTCTAATGGAGGATATAGACAATAAATGTATAAACAAATAATTATTTCAGGAAGTGATTTAAGGAGAAATGAATCCTTGTTCATGATTAGAGAGTAATTTGGAATGGAGCTAACTTAGACAAGTGACTAAGTAGTCACTTAGAGGAGATCATAGTAGAAGAGAGATCTAAATGAAGTGATAAGCTTTCATTCAAAAGTCTAGGAGAGAGCATTCTAGGCAGAAAGAACAGTAAGTGCAAAGGCCCTGAGGTGGCAATAAGCTCAGCATTTTCAAGGAACAGCAAGCAGGTCAATGTGGCAGGAGGAGAGGGACTGAAGGATAAAGTAGAAGATGACTTTGGAAAAGTGGATGCAAAGACATCACCTGTGTCCTGGTGAAGCACAGTAAGAAGGTTAGATTTTAGCCCAAGTGTGGTGGGGAGATGGGACCATTTTGGCAAGTCAGTAACATGATGTGATTTATTTTTATAAATGATCGCTGGTTTTGTTTGCAGAATAGATTGTTTCAAATGTGGAAGAAATGAAACCATTGCAGTAGCTTAGCCAGGTGATGATTTTGTCTTAGACCTGGCAGGTAGCAGGGGAAGTGCTGACGAGTGGTTTTAAGATTCAGAATGCAATATTGTCAAGGGAGATCTGCTGAGACTTCCTGATGGTTTCGATGTAAGTGGTGTAGCAAAGAAATATGATAGATGGGGATATTGTGAGATAAAAAGAGATTTGTGACATAAAAGGGAATAATGGGTGAAGAAATAGCCTAGATTTTCAGTTGTGAATCTGGTACACACACTGAGGGACTGGAGGAAGTTCATGGCTGTTGGAGAGTAAGTGAGGAATGGAAAAGAGACTGGACCTGGATTATAGGCAATAGAAAACTTAGACTTAGGGCTCTCAGGAGGTATGTGTTTCCCACTCTACAAGAGTTTTGTCTTTACTGGCGTTGGTGGGCCCAGTCCACTGACAGTCATCCATTCCCACTTCCTCTGCAACATTTGTGTCATCATCAAGCTAGCTCAGGGATTATGTTTGAGGCTAAGGGACTCAGAGTCCATATTCTGTTTAGGGATACTAATAGACTACGCCATATCCTATTCATGCTAGCAGAGTTAAAGTGGGAGCTCAAAACAGTGGGCACAGGATGTACATGGATTCATAAACTCTTCTTCCATTATTGCCCATTTTAATCAGCTCCACAGCCACCTGATGGCAACTACTGAAATGCTTTGATCT